GTTTTCGCTCCCCCTTGCGCCGCATAATCCGGCCTCACAAACTCCACTTCCACCTCGACTCCCTTCACGAGCCCAACCCCTTGCCCCTTCGCCAGAATCATCCATTCGTTTACACATTCGTTTACACAACCTCCGCCTGATCCTGGCTCCCGTCCGACGCGACCCCGTCGTCACACCACCCCGAGCCCGACCTCGCCTCATGTCATCTCCACGTCCCCGTTCGCCACTGCCACTGGCCCCTCCTCCTCTTGCTCTTCCTCGTCGTCCCCATTCTCCTCCTCCTTCTCCTCGTCCTCCAACAACTTCTTCGCCTCCCGCATAGCCACCACCGCCTCCTTTGCGTAATGCTGCTTCATCTTCCCCCTGAACTCCTTGTGCCTCGCCTTGGCCTCCTCGTCCATCTCCTCGTCGCTGTCCGCGAACACCTCACCAGAGTTCGCAGCAGTATTCGCCTGGGTGGCGCCGAGGGCGACGCCGAGTGCGCCCTCGTTGGGAGCGGGGACGGTGGGGTAGGAAGAGTCGATGGGGGAGGAGGAGATCGGGGGCGTCGAGGAGGAGCCACCACCGGGACGGACGGGGTGATCCTTTGAGGGCAAGGAGAAGGAGGCGGAGCGGGAAGACGAGGTGGACCGCGAGGAAGAGGCGGAGGAGGCACGGCGAGCCATGCTCGTGTCGGACGGGGTGCCGGGGAGGCTGCGGCGTGTCAGCGGCGAGAAATGTCAATGTGCCAAAACACGCCTGTTGCACGGATGGTTCGGGTGCGGGGTGAACGCAGCAGGGACCAGGACTTCCGGGTCGCTGAGGTCGCGAAGTAGAATCCCGCGCGACGATGCGCCGACAAGAGATGCTCAGGCGGGGAGTTACACAACAACAGAGACGCAGGAGAGATGGAGCCTCCACTCACCTCGCTCGCGAGCTGCTGTTGGGCGTCGAGGGGGAGAGGGGTGCTCCGGCTCGGAGGTCAAACTCGGGCACATCTGCGGCGTCAGCCACGATCCCCCGTCTTGGAGTCTGGTCCGGATCGAAGCAGGCTCAATTGGCTCCAATCAGACGATGATTCTCGTGAAGGTGCACAGCGCAAATACCCACCTCCTAGGACCATGTCGTTCTCCGCGTCATACCGCACAAAAGGGGTCTTGGGCTCGTCGATCTTCCTGCGGATGGTCAGCATGTCCTCCATCCGAAACGACGCGCGCATCCGCTTCGGGCACGCCCACGCGTCGATCCCGGCAGAGCAGTCTGGGGTCACGCACATCAGTGAGTCCTTCTGTATCTCCGTCGCGGCGATGTTCGCCTCGTCCCACTGAACCCTCTCCGCGTCGGTCGCGGGGCTGATGGGGGCGTCAGACGGTGTGGGGCCGGGCATGCTCGGTCTCCTGAGCGGGTTCTTGAGGATGCCCCTGGGAGGAGGTGGGCGGGAGGCAGACGGTCGACGACCCATCTCCGCACCCGGAGCGAGGTCCTGCTCGAGGTGGTGCTCGTCGTCGGAGAGCACGGCGGCGTCCATCGGCTCGGCACCGTCGAGTGATTCGGGGAGGTCCTCTGGTGCGCGGGTGGGAGGGGCGGGGGGGATGTCGATGTGGGTCGGGTGGGGGKGGGTGGAGGCGTACGGTGGTTTGGACATGGCGATGATGGGGGTGGTGCGGTGAGAAGGGGTACAAGGATGATGAAGATGGTGAGAAGAGGGTATGTATGGTTGTTGCTGTACGCTGTTTGCTGTCTGCTGTAGCGCTGTAGCCTGTGAACGTCGACTGGTTGCCCTGGCGGTGGCCGTGACGTTTGAGCGCCTCTTACGTGCCGTGCCGATGCCCAATTTTGATCCCGCCCCCTGATTGCTGTTCCTGGATAAACTCATCGCCATATTTGATCCCGCTGAATATCCGCTTCCACGTTGTCGACGTGGCGCGTGTCGGCGTCTCGTCGCCTGTCCAGCAAGTTCCATCCCTCCACTCTTCCCATCCTTCCTTCCTTCTTTCAACCTCGAAACAACCTCCCTCCTCGTCCTCGACACAGCGCTAGACGCGTCTGCTCTGATCCCTCGTCCGGCCTCAGCAACCACCAAAGTCGCTCTCCCATCATGCGCGCTCAGTCCGTCGCAAACGCCGCCGGCGCGTCGGCGTTGCTCCTCGCCGCGAGCGTCTCTGCCGACCAGACGGTGTTCCACGTGAGTCGAGAGAGTCACTTGCGGGACAGGGGTGCTCTAGCCAGGACCAGATATCCTTCCGGGACTGGTACATGCTGCTCGAAGCCTCTCTCCCGCTTGCTCTATTGGATCCGCGCTGACTCCCTCGCAGCCCACCAGCCTCACCGCCCCTTTCATCGAGCAGTTCCTCGAGCAGATCCCTCAGTCCCGGTGGACCGTGTCCCGCGCGACCAAGCAGACCCCCGTGGGCGACGAGATCTTCTCGTACGTAGGCACCTGGGCGGTCGAGGAGCCCGAGGTGTACCCCGGTCTCAAGGGGGACATGGGTCTTGTGTTGAGTGAGTGGACGTGCATCCCCCACCCATCCGCGACTCCAAGCAGACGCGAGCCGTGGCGCTGGGTCAAAGCTGCGGAGTCGTGGATGGCCTGTGGTGCTTGAGCCCTTGCAGCCCTCGCTGACCGTTCGCAGAGTCCAAAGCCGCCCACCACGCCATCTCGACCCTCTTCCCCGAACCGATCGACCCGAAGGGCAAGCCCCTCGTCGTGCAGTACGAGGTCAAGCTGCAAAAAGGTCTCGACTGCGGTGGCGCCTACATCAAGCTCCTCACCGAGGACGAGTCGGGCTCTGGTCTTCGTGCTGGTGACGAGTACACGGACAAGGTGGGTTCGGCGTACGGACCTTGATCGAGGGCATACATCGCCGTTGTCGCCGCTAACCCCGCTCAGACGCCGTTCACCATCATGTTCGGTCCCGACAAGTGCGGATCCACCAACAAGGTCCACTTCATCTTCCGCCACAAGAACCCCATCACGGGCGAGTGGGAGGAGAAGCACCTCGTCAACCCCCCGGCACCCAAGATCACCAAGACCACGGCGCTGTACACCCTCATCGTGAAGTGAGTGGCGAGTCTCTTGCTTCCCTAGCTCGACTCCTCGCTGCCCGATTCTGGTCGGCGAAGGCGCGACCTCAGAGCTGGTCGAACCGTGTTGCTGACTCTCTCAGCCCCGACCAGACCTTTGAGATCAAGATCAACGACGAGTCGGTTAGGACCGGTAGCCTCCTGGAGGACTTCAACCCCCCTGTCAACCCTCCGGCGGAGATTGGTACGTTGGCCAACGGTGCTGGTGGTTGTCGAATGGCAACGATCAGAAGAACCGAAGCTAACGGCTTGCAGACGACCCTGAGGACTTCAAGCCCGAGACCTGGGTTGACCTCGCCGAGATCGACGACCCGGACGCTACCAAGGTGAGGTAACCCTCACCTTGCCCTGTGGAAGGTACCCGGGGCGCAGCTGACGTCTGCAGCCCGATGACTGGGACGAGGAGGCCCCGCTCATGATCACCGACGAGGCGGCTACCAAGCCCGAGGACTGGCTCGAGAACGAGCCGGAGCTGATCCCCGACCCGGAGGCCGAGAAGCCTGAGGAGTGGGACGTGAGTGTGGAGCATGTGTTGGTGGGATCGTGGCTAATGTGTATCAGGACGAGGAGGACGGTGACTGGATCGCCCCGCTTGTGCCCAACCCCAAGTGCGAGGAGGGTGCTGGCTGTGGACCCTGGACCCAGCCCAAGATCAAGAACCCGGACTACAAGGTGAGCCTTGCTCCTTGCCAGACTGGAGCAGACCGCTGGAGGATATGGCTTCAGGGCTAAGCTGACATCGATGACAGGGCAAGTGGACCGTGCCCAAGATCTCCAACCCCGCGTACAAGGGTGTCTGGGCCCCGCGTCAGGTCGCCAACCCGGCCTACTTCGAGGACAAGACCCCGTCGGACTTCACCAAGCTCGCCGGTATCGGAATTGAGCTCTGGACGATGACTGAGGACATTCTGTGTAAGTGGACCTGATCCCGTCAACACCTTCCCGTGCTCCCGCTCACACCTTGCAGTCGACAACATCTTTGTTGGCCACGACGAGGCGGCGGCCAAGAAGTTCGCCGACGAGACGTTCCACGTCAAGAGGCCTATTGAGAAGGAGGCGGAGGGTTCCGCCGAGGAGGAGGAGGAGCTCGAGCCGTCGACCCTGGTCGACAAGATCCGTCTGAAGGTGTACGAGTTCATCCGTGAGTCCAGCAATTGCCGCGCGGGGCGGGCTATCTGGCGAACAGATCACAACCGCCCTCTTCGCCGATGCTGACCGCCTCGTGTAGACCTCTGCGGATTCGACGTCGTTCAGGCTGTCAAGCAGATGCCCGAGGTCGCCGCGGGTCTCGCCGCAGCGGCCCTCACCTTCATCGGCATCCTCGCCACCCTGTTGGGCCTCATCGGTTCGAAGCCTACCATCGTGAGTGCTAGCTGATAATACCACTACCGCCAGTGCTTGGCGCGGAATTTTAGTTCTGCATCGAGCACCTTCGTTTGCACTCGCTGACTCGTGATTGCAGGTCAAGAAGACCACGGTCAAGGCTTCGGCCCCTACAGTCGCGCAGGCAAAGGCGGAGAAGGACGAAGCTCCCGTGGCTGTTGCGGGCGAGGACAAGAAGGAGGATGCCGCGGTGAGGAAGCGGGCGACGAGGAGCACCAAGGAGTAAGCGGAGTAAGCGGAGTAAGCGGAGCGTGGAAGAGTAGGTATGGACAACGAGGCATGAGCAGTGAGCAGCACTTGCGAGGCGCGAGGCATGAGCGTCGCGGTGCGCGACTCGCTCCGGCGAAGGGTTGGAGGACAAGGTTGGGAAGGAGACGACGAGGAGTGCGCCCGAGTTCTGTCGAAGAAGCTCATTATATGAAAATGCATTCATTTGCTCTTCCCAAATTCTGCGCTTCGCATATCCAACTAACGCTCGCATGGACCACAAAAGTCTTGAGGATCCGCTGCTGCCCCCGTGTGCTGGGTAAGCAGCCAAAAAGGACAAAAAGTTATTCTGGATCGGGGAATCGAACCCCGCTCTACCGCGGCCTTGTAGTCCGAATTGGACTCGCTTGAGAGGCGGTTATACTAGCCGATATACTAATCCAGATATGATTCGATGAAAGTGAAGGCTTTGTGCATGATATATACTGCAACAACCGCGACGGCGCTCTCTAGTAGCTGTCTGCTAGAGGCTGACTGTTTGGGCGTCAAGAGTCAACCTGGCATCGACTCAGCGGGGTCAGTGAAAGTGCCCAATAAAGTAATTGCGACAGAAGACTGCAATTGTTCATGGGCGCGTCCTCCGCGATGAGTCCGCGCAGCAATCGAGAATTCAATCGTACATCAGTCATGGAACAGTATGAAGAGCAGTATGTACATTACAGATCGAAACATACGACACATCTGATGAGGGAGCCAAGATGAGGGTCACGGTCGTACAGCGGTGGCGTAGCAGAACGTATGTACTCGGACTGTACCACTTGTACTGTACCACTCATCTGGAAATAATGTACCGTCCGACACTCGAGTCAGTTGTCATCCGAGAAAGCTTCTGAACCCGCCCTGAGACGGTTGATTCGGGCGATACTGCCCTCGAGAGGACGTGGAAGTTCCGAGGTAGCCGTTGTAGTAGCCCCCCGGCGGTTGACTGGAGCGATGCTGTTCGCCTGACGAAGTGTATGATCCAGTGTATGGCCCGACACCTAGATTTGCCATTCTCTGCACGAGCTGCTGCTGATCGTTCTCAACGCTGGACTCGTCGTCGCTTTCATCCAGGTAATGTCCCCCGCTAGCCAATACCTGGGCCACCTCCGGAAAGTCGCGGGCGAAGGTGAAAGGGTTGAGCCAGTGCAGCTGTGTCCGCGAGTGAGCGACATTAGAGCGTACGAGTCCGGATACGGCTCGACGGAAGACCTCGGCTGTGTCACAGTCGTCATCCTCCTGTACACTCCTGCTCCTTCTCTGATTTTCAGCTTGCATGTTCCTCAATAGCTCGGACGCCAGAGACTCCGCAGCGTCATATTGAGCCTTCTGGTCATCGGGGAGCTCATCTTCCTTGACCACGGTGGTGCGATGACCATTTGTGGTGACCGCCGCGATGTAAGTCAGACAAGACGACTCCCCATCGGGAGACTCCTGGTATCTCGTCCAGAAGACGGCTGGAACGAATGGCCCAATGTTAGGGTAAGTCGATGTCGTCTGCGCCGTCTGACTGTCTCGGTGTGTCGCTCTCGGACTCGAGAGGCTGGAGAAGGGAGTACAGACCGTCGCCAAACTGGAGCCGCTGTTCGACGCCGACGATCCGAACCAGGAACCGAGTCCACGTTCGCTTCGGGAAGATCTAGGTAGATGTATCACGGCGCGCTCACTTCCGGCTGGTTCGGACCCTCGACTGGGCGTGCCTCTTGAAATGTTGCGGACCATGATAGTTGATCAGTATGAAGCAGACGAAAGCACAAACAAATTGGGCGTGCTGTGATCGAGAGGGGGAGGGAAGGGGGGTGGGAGATGAACGATTAAGAGGTCACACTGGCTGACTCTATATGTACGTGACACTGTCACAATCGCTCTCTGCATTTCCATTGTAGAGCACTCCTCCCTTCAATGCAGAGCCCACTGAAGCACCCTGCAGGAAACGCGATAGAGACCTCTCTGCCAAAGCTGGATCGTCACTGGGATGATACTGCGCTTCGCAGAAAGGATGCCCTCTGAGCATCAACTCCTCGATCGTTGCATGGCCGCGTCGCGGCCTACCTAATGTACCTTTCACTTGTCCTGGCGTGAACAGAACGACGAGAACGGTGGGAACCTTTGATCGAACTCGCAAGACATCATTCCTAAGACACGCTCCACGACCGGGACATTGCAACCAGTACCGCGACCGAGGTCTTCGGCGTTGATCGGCTTAAGATCGTGTGCTTGGTGGGTCAAATGTAACTGACCGAAAGGGATGGCAGCTAGGGCGACAAGCAACCGCAAAGAGTGAACAGTATGCGGCCGGGATGCCATGGATGCGACTACGCATTTGCCGAGTGTCGAGTGTCGTTCACGTGGGCCTGGCGTCAGCATTACACCAACCCTGCGCTACTGTAATTCCTGCCGAGCGCGATGTTGCTGTTGGTTTGTGTTGTAAGACAATATATGCATAAGAGAAAGAGACATGAACGAGCGAGCGAATTGAAAAGTCCGACGTCGAACGAGCACGCGATTGAGTCTTCCAAGAGTTTGATCCCCATCACGGCAGGCTGGGTGTCGCCCTCGCCTAAGCGTGAGGCTGATGATCAGGAAACGTGCGGCCGAAGGTCAGTGGGTCGAGGAAGCAAACTTTGGAGGTGCTGTGCTCCGGCTTGTCAGCGGTGAGTTCACGGAAAGCTCGGTCAAAATGACTCGTATGATCAAAGAAATATTTGGTGTTTCCAACAGTCGTGTGGGGGTAACCGTCTTTATCGGTGGCGGCCTTCATGACCTCGGCCAGCTCCTGGATCTTCCGTGCCCCAACCGCTGACCCGGCCGCGGACGAATTTATGGTCTTGACTGTTCCGTCAGTGGTGAGATGCGTTTGCCATTCAGTTACATTGATCGAGCCGAAACCACCCTTCGGCTTCGTCCAGGCCGTCCAGAAGAATGTGGGCACCAAGTCGTCAATACATGTACCCTGCGAGCTGGACTCTTCCCCTGCCAGAGACGTCTCTCCTGCGTCCGGGTTGATCACCGTTGGATCTCCGGCATTGGAGGCTGTGCCCGCTGAATCTCCAGCGTTCGAGTCGGAATCCGTTGAATCTCCTGCGTTCGAGGCCGTATCCGTTGTATCATCGCCAGACAGCGCACTGTCTGTCGGTAACATGGCTCGTTTCGTCATGATGTCGTACTGGACAATATTTGTAAGTCTTGAGGTACTGTACTCGCCTGGTCGGATCAGACTGTGTGTGGAAGTATTGGAGGAAAAGTCTGTCAAAGAGACCCCTCTCGCCCCTTTAAGAGCTCGCCATCACCGTAGGCGCCGGGCACACCAGAGCTTTCCGGCAGTGCGAAAATCATGCGGGATAAAGGAGATCGCAGGGTGAGGAGAGTCATTGTTCGAAGCGCAATGCGCGTCGGGGTTTGTGGCCTTCCGTGTCGGTGCATCATCACGCAGCCTTCGCAAAGGGCAAAAAAGAGCCCCTTCCATTCCAAGGCGGAGGATCCTCGTCCTGATCACCTATAAGCGACTAATGAGCCTTCGAGTCGCGAGACGACGCGATCATCGAGGTCTTCGGGGATGATCGGCAATAGATCTGGTGCTCTGCAAGCGAATGATGCGAGGAGAAGAAAGGGACGGAGACTCGGCACGGGGACCTCAAACGTGTATACATGATGATCCACCCGAATGACGCGGCTATTTACGGAATCCCGATTGCAGTCCACCTGAACGGAGCGTCATGGGTGTTGGGGAAGTCAGGATCGATACCAAGGGCTGGACCGCTCAGCTTGGGACACAACCTCGCTCTGAGCTATCAATGGAAATCGTTTTGAGATCATTGAGGAACCTGGCGTTGGGGCTCTGATCCATACGCCAGTCGGCCTCACTGCTGTCCTGAGCAGGCTGCGTGTCGGCTTCGCGTGTGCTGGCCAGACTACTGTAATCAGGTTTGTGGTCCTTGAACAACTCGGGGAACGTTTGGGACATGATGATGGGGTCGAGCCAGTGATGGCTGGAGTTGGTGTGCTCGGAATTAGAAGCCATCAGATCGCTGACAACTTTGTCATACAGAGCACTGTTATCGTAGGAGCTCGGGCCGTCTCTTTCGGGCCCCAGGCACAATTTGTGGGCTTCTCCGTCACCGGAATTGGCTGCAGGGAGTTTCTGAGATCCTTCCCGGACTACGCCCTTCATGGCTGCTTGCAATTCAACAGAAAGCTCGAGCGCGCGGGCGAAAGCGCTCGCCTGCTCCACCGGTACGTCGCCAGACTGAAGGATGCTTTTGGCAGTACCGTCGCTGGTGACTGCATACGTGTACGCCGTCGCAATTCCTGCTGTCCTCGGCACCGGCCAAGTCGTCCAGAAGACGGTGGGTTTGAGCTCCACAGAACCGAGCACCGTCCTGCTTTGGTCTTCGTGGTCCGCTTCTTCCGGTTTGCAGGCCGGGGTCTGTGGTTCGCTTCCAGTCCACCACCCGTCGTCGGCAACAGATGATTCAGTGGACATGATGATATTTGTCTTGGATTGGGATACAGTGGAAATGAAATGAGGGGGAAATGCAGAGAAGCACAGGCGGTCAAACGCCTCCTGCGGCTGTTGACAGTCCTGCGTCCTCGTCGTTGCCTTCGCCACAAGCCGACTGCGTGGTCGAAATGGATGAGTGAGCAAATCAACAAAGCATCGTGTTCGCCGACCACCGACAGGGTTGACCGGAATTGTCGGCCTTCGAATTCGGGACGAAACTGTGATGCGACGCTCGGCGAAACCCGGGAGAGAAGCTGAAAAGACGCTAATAGTTTGTAATTCTGCGATTCATTTTCTACAAATAGCAGAAAATCACAAATCAACGTAGTAGAGAACGTGACATCAGGGCCAGGGCCGACTCGCCGAATACAAACTACTATCGTCTTTCAGCTTCTCTGCCGGGTTTCGCCGAGCGTTGCATCACAGCTTCGTTGGTGATTTGTACAAATTCAACCACGAGTTGGAATGGTGATTTGTATTCCTCGTCGACTCAAATCGACTCGGTCTCGTGCAAAGAGTTCGACACAAGATCCAACATGCTGCGACCATGTACTGTTCAATCCACTCTTCCCACAGACCATGCCTCCTAGACTTCTCCCATATGTCAACTTCGCGATCGCAAGCGTCGCGTTGGCCTTCCAGGTGGGAGTCCTTCTACCATGGCACCACGAATTAGACAAAAAGTTTGACGAGTCAGTCATCTCTCCCCCGCCGTCGACTGTTTTGCCCCCCCGCCGTCAACTGTTTTGCCCCCTCGCCGTCGACTGTTTTGCCCGGTGCTGACGGTAATCCAGGCTTTCAGCTCGGCAGTCGACGCAGCTCGAAGAGCACCACGCGGTTCGAGAGTCATCAATGAGGCATTTGCGTTCGATAATGGAGAATTACCTCGCCAATCTTGCGGACAG